CTGACTTGACTTCACTTTAAAAACAAGTCTTTTTTGTTTTAAAACAAGTCTTTTCCAGAATAAATGAAACCATATAGAATTTTACCCCTTTAAAACCTCCTGGTCTTCCTTTAGGGGGAAATACAGTATTTTAATCACCTAGTTTGTCAAAGGTAAGTGCTGTCATGAATGAGTGATGTGATAGGTTCCTCTATTTATGCATGATGTAAATAGGTGATGCAGAGGACATCAAGTAGGTGTTTAGATTATGTGTGCTTACACTGTATTGAAAAAGAGATCATATAGTTTAATTGGGCCTACACAAAATGGTGAATTTGTCTACAGCTGAACTACACAAACATGGGAATTTACTGAAATGTTGTGGCAGCTGGATATGCTTCCAGCTGGGCACAGACGCTGAGTGCTTCCCACTTAGAGCTGAGCTGGAGGGAAAACCTCTTTTCCCGTGGAACAGCTTCCAAAGAGCCCTTTCAAGCAACGGAAACGATGTGTTACCATGGGATGCTCTCACAGAAAGTTTTGAATTTGACAGAGGAGTTAGTGACTTTCTCACTCCTTAAGTAATTATCCTCTCTGCTGACATACCAGGGGCTGGCAGGAGTAGCTGTGTCATTGGAAATGTTTATACCCAAGTCCTTGAGAAAATGTTGGTATCTCCCTCCCACACCAGGTAGAATTACGTGAGTTAATAACACACTCTTTTGGAAGGTCTTTTTTATTCAGATTAAGGAATTGCTGGACAATCTTCCTACAGCTCCTGGTAAAGTAGGAGGAAATAAGCAAGCTGCAGTGCTAAAGGCTATCTTACTGTAAAAGTTTCTGAAGCTTGAGTGAAGGCTCAGCCTGGCTGATGTTTCCTAAGAGGAGCTTGGGCTCCATCTGTCAAACAGGCAGAGACAAGGGTATACTGTGAAGTGACAGGTCATGTACCCGTGATCTATGAGCCAATGAACAGGTCATGGAATTTAGGCAAAAACTCTGGAGATTCATTAAATCCTGTCAGAAACTGATTAACTGAAAAATATAGATGTGCCTGTGGGCACACAAGCCCTTCAGATGTGAAACAGAGTCAAAAAATTAAATACTGAGTATAGGTTAGTTCTTTATGTGACATTGTCTATGTTGGACCTGAGAAAGATCCTCCCTGCCTAAAAGAATGTGTTTTTTTCCCAGCTGTTAGCAGGTCTTGCAGAATGACTCTATTTCTCCACACATTTTGCCTTATATCCTCAGGGCATCATGAAAAAAGGTGCTATATATAAAATAAAAGACCTGTAGTCAAGTAAACAATTCAGGCTGCACGTTCAAAACCTGTTTTTCAGTGTGTAGATGTATCTTCCGTATTCTGCATTATGATTACTTTGAATTACATGAGCTGAAGGAAAACTGCTTTTCTAGCTAGCCAAGTGCCATAAAAATACATGTGGAACCTATATGGGCCTCCCAATGGATGTTGAAAGCACTCACCAACTGTGCATGGAATGATTAACAATGCTCGAGTAAAACAAGAGAAAAGGAAGGGGAAAAAAAACAGATTGGAAAACCTTCCTTAGCTGGGAATGGTTTGACGAGATAATGCAAAGTCTCTGCGTGAGTATGAGAAGCAGGTTTAGATCACACTTTCCTGGCTCCTGGTGGTTTTTACCATGGTTTGCATTTTAAATCATTAGGAAGATGTTGATTTTATTTTCTTTCTGATTTCTTTTCTGTAGAGAGTAGTTATGGCAGAAAAGGGAGAAGGGGAGAAGGAATCCCTGGATCATGAAGACCCTTTCTAAGCATTAGACAGTGGGCTCTCCTACTGATGCCAGTATGAACAAACTGGAAGAATAAAAGCCTCAGAGCACTAACAGAGCAATTATTTTCTCCACCACACTGTAACTTCAGCTCTTGGTGACAGTGTATTTCCACTGCTCACTGGCTGTGGTTAAGGAGGTGGAAAGGGCATTCAAAGAACAACATTGTTCCAAGAACATGAAATATTCGAGTCATTCTTGGATTCCACTTTGTGTTTCCTCCTCCACCAGCTACGTCTGTCCAGTTGCTTATCAGTCTCTCCAGAGTATCAAACCTTTACAGTGATTCCATCTCTTACTCATGCTTTACTCATTTCCCAACATGGCTATAACTGATTTCCAATTTAGCCTTCCCAAATCCCTGCTTTGAATTTGAGTGATTTAGAGTGCAGATGTGGATGGAAGTTAACATAGCATTAATCCACAGCAAGTACATGCAAGGGTATAAATTACTCGGTGTATTCAAGAAAGAACCTGTTCTGTTTCAATATCCATTATGCGGTTTAGGTAAAAGGATGTAGTCCCAACGTGGAAATACTTTTGCACAGTTGTAGGTACGACTACAGCTTCAGTCACAGCACCTCCACACAGGATGAAGGTGTACAGACTTGCTGTGATTGCAAATTCCTGTCTCCCAGCCAGGAATTCCTGCTGCTGTTTCCTTGGTCACCTAGGACAGCCCTTATCTCCTTCATCAACTTATGTCAAACTCTGCAACCATGCAACTGCCATTTTAGGCTACTTTAGCACCTAAATAATTTGGTAGTAAACATTTCACTTCCCTGCTCAGTCTGGAACTCACAGCAAAGGCTCAGTGCAAGGAAAGACTATTTTCCCCAACAACACTTCTGGCTGAGCTCTTTTGGAACTTATTTATTGCTCTTCGAAAATTACAGAGTTCAAAGATGATTTGTGCTAAGGCTTTATCAAGTACACGCGCCCAAAGTTACACCTTCCCTTTCCTTATCATAGCATTTACACCTTGGTCAAATATCCAGGTAGTCTTAGTTTCTGATCTCTCTTTTGCATGAGAAAAAGAAAGCAAAATGGTTTTAAGGTTCTAACTGGGGAAAACAGTATTTTATTCATATATTACTAAAAGAGAGGGGCCTCTGGTGGTCTAGTGGTTAGGGTGCAGGACTCTCACCGCTGCAACCCGGGTTCGATTCCCGGCCCCCCGGGCAGGTGGAGCTCGTTAGCCCTGTGAGGCAATCCATCTAAGAGAAGGTCACTCTAAACAAACCTACGTCCTGGGGACCTCACTGCCACTGTCCGAGTTTCACTCGGCCCCGGCAGATGAACCTCAGGATTAAAGGGTGGGCTCAGTTCAGCGCACGCTGTGTCTCACCTAAAAAATCCACTGCGCAGGCTCGAAGGGTTAATGACCTTTCCCAAATCTTCGCTCGCGAAGACTGGCCATTACTAAAAGAGATGACATATCAATTTCTTCACAGAAATTCTTTCCAAACTTTTGGAAAACAAAGAACTAATCCCGAGGCAAACACCTGCCTGAAGCATTGATTTCAAAACAACTGCAGTTTGTCACAGCTTAAAGATCCTATGTTCAGAAAATTTTGTTGAGCAAAAATGAAGGTAGGACATTATGAATAACCTGCAAATGTCCTTTAAAGGGGAAAATGAAAAAAAATCCCAAACTAGGAAGTATCCATGAACGACGTGCATTTAGGCCACAATGAGGAACTGCTGTATAAGAAATACTGTTAAAGTTTGAACAGCAAATGACAAACAGGAAGATGCCTGTTTGTCTGAACTTCTTACACGATAAAATGTGAACAGGGAAGGGAAGGTTTTTGCAACACAGTGCGTCCATGTCAATAGTTTTCAGTTTCTCAGAATAAAAAATTTCCTTGTGTTGTTTCACTGATATTCACACCTGAACACAAGAGATTATTAAGAATTCATCTGATAATTAGAATAGTGTTGGATGAGTTGGAAATGTGTGAATATCATAAAAATGTCATTATTTAAGTAGTAATAACTAGAATATAGCTGCTTAATATAAAAAGTTACCAGATGATTCTTTGCGTATTTTGAACGTGTATGCACCTGACAGTCAAAACCCAAGATGCCATAGGAATTTCCCTTCCCCCTGTTTAGTACCTTCGAAATCCAAAATTGTGCTGCTTTGATGCCATGTTTGGAGCAGTATCCATAGGTAAAGTTACAGGAATAGATTTTGCCTCTCCCCAGATCTCCTGCACAATTCAAAGCTTATATATGTACAGAGAATGGTCACTGTCCTACAGCTCTGTATTCCTCTGAACCCGCCTGGTTTACGGACAGGGGTATTTATTTGGCCTAAATTGGAGACATCTATGTTTCCTGACTCCAGAGTAGAAAAGTTTTGGATGAGTAATTCTGATGGTGACTTAGATATGCAGATACATGTGAGACAATTCAAAGGTCTTAACTAATAATTGCCTTTTTTCCTAATTGCAGGGTGATCTGGATTGATGAAAACAAGTTTCTCAAACAAGAATGACAACAGTTGACATACCTTTCAGTGTGTTTTACTGTCAGCTTTGTTCACTCTGATCACAAACCTAAGAACAACAACAAATTCTGCTGACAGACAACTCTCCCAAACGCAGTCAGTATGAAGTCACAGCTGTCTGATGTGCTCACACCCACCAGGCATTGTTAAAGAAGTCACTAGATCACTGAAAGTGTGCAAAATTAACAAATAAATGCTAATGGCATGTACTACTAAAAGTAATTTAACCTCTATTAGTAATGAGTATAATCTAATTGTTTTCTTCAACCTTTAGAATATTGTGACATGCAACTTCCTTATCTGCAGCTAACTGTTCATCTTGCTGATTTAGAAATCTTCTATTACACTCAACAGCAGCAGCAGAGCCTTTAGAATTCTTTTCTCACCATCTTGAAAAAAGCTGGGGACTGATCTACCTGAGACCCAAAACTCTAAAAATGAATAAATGTGATATTTTACACAGAGCAGCCCAGGTGTCTCAAGTCCCATATCTGTGCCTTCTCAGCAGCTCATCAGACATCCCTACAGTTTTTGTCCCTGCTTTTACTCATATTGACATGTTTAAAAACAAATAGCTGAATATAACAGGTTGGAGGTTGTATTTTTAGAATGAGAACAGGGCTATCACTCGCAAAACAAGAGGAACTGTTGAGACAGCAAGAACTAAAAATACTTTGATAAACACATGCTAAAATCACAATGTTCTTTATTCTTTCAAGGGTGACCTTATTGCTATGGTTAGAAGAGATACCTTTCAAGAGTTACATCAGTGCTGACTCAACATTAACAAGCACATGTCATCTAGGTTGTGATCTAATACTGCACACGATGGTGTGTTTCAGGGGGTGTCCACCGGAAGACGGGGGGTCCATCATGTGCGAGGAGACTTGGTGACACTTTCCCATCTTTTCCTGCCAGGAGCTCTACCAAACTGTGCTGTTTGGCAGCAGGGGACACTCTCCAGGTGCTACTGCATGAAGAGGATGCTGAAGGCCATCACAACACAGCACACGGCTACGTAGGGGCTCTTCCGCTCACCTGGGAGGGGGAAAAACCCAAAAGAAAGATTCAGGAGTCACTAAATAGATCCAGGCTGCTCCTACTCTAACATGCTAACTATGCTACAGCATGTGCAAGTTCACATTCAACATTTCTGGCTGGAGAAATGCTATTAGAGGTACAGTTGTGTGTTCAGGAAGAACATGCATGGGAGTGGAAAACCCAAATGTAGGATATTGCTACATAAAGACAGAGTTGCAGCTCTTTGCTTTAAGACAGTGACTTTAAACAAGGGCATGTAGTGACAGGACAAGGAAGAATAGCTTTAAACTCAAAGAGAGGAGGTTTAGATTGGATATCAGGAAGAAATTATTGTTCCCTGTGAGGGTGGTGAGGCCCTGGCACAGGTTGCCCAGAGAAGCTGTGGCTGCTCCATCTCTGGAAGTGTCCAGGGCCAGGTTGGAGCAATGCTATGGAAGATGGCCAGATGCTTGTCTCTTTTACTTGTTAAAGGAATATAACATTGTAAGAACGTGGAGGCGGTCTGGCCCACACATTTCCATGATAAAAATGGTCAACAGATCACAGAAGTTGCATAGACACCTCTGTTTCTGACTGTTTCAAACTGGTGTCACAGCTTTTCCAGGGCACACCATGGATGAAAGTTAACTTTACTCCATTAGCCCACTTATATTTGGTGTCAAAAGCAATCATGAGAGATCTATTCCCCTCTATCTGGTCCAGGACAAAATGTTACAGAGGTGCCTTATTTACCAAGTAAACTATGAAAAAAAAAAGGAATAATCTTATGTGGGGAACTGTAACACAGTCAGGGGTTAATAGTAATGTTAACCAGACTGGTACCTATTTACATGAGCACTTCCTCTACTTTATTAGCCAAGTGTTTTTACACTTCTACTTAAACTTTATTCTTCATGGGTCCACTGACTTCCCTCTGGAGAGACCAACACTGGATGGTACTTCCAGCCCTCAGAACTGTCAGGAAGTGTTAACACTGCAATCTATCTTTAAAGTGAGAAGATTCCTGTTTTTACACATCCAGAAGCACAAAGACAGAGCTGGGGCTGTTTGCTTTAAACAAAATTCAATTTCCCTGTGCTATGCCAGGTGTTTTGTCTTACTCTATAAACCATCTTATCTCGAGACATAGTTTTCAGAGAACCATTAAAGAAAAAAGAATACCAAGGCTTCCAAGTTTAAAATCAAGGTGCAATTCTCATGAAAAAAAATTTTTACCAGCAGGACCTTCAAATACATGAGCAACAAACTTTCCACAGAAAGAAAGTAAAAAATAAAATAGTTGCAGTGACAGCTCCCAAAAGCAGGAGTGCCTGCCACAGTGACATTACAAGATGTTGGCATGATCTGGCATATATCTAATTAAACTTCAAATAACTGAAAGAACCAATGTCTGTAGTTTCACATCTGTTTAAAATAAATTTTGAGGAAGTCCAACTCCTACGGTTCAGGGTATTACAATATTCATATGGGTTATACTTTTCTGCTCCTAATTTTCTTAAAAGAGAAATCACCATGTGGCAGGATTAAACGTCATTTTGCACAACTCTGTAAATATGCAACCACTTCCCCGCGATTAAGATCTTATGCACATGTGAAAAGGTTGTTTAAACATACTAGGGATGTTAAATGTAAAGGAAACCAGGAGATATTTTCATTTTTAGAAGCCTACGCTTTGTACATGCCTTTGTGATTAACACAAACAAAATGACAGGAATCATCCCCAAAGCCCATTTTCACCTCTCAGTCTAAAAAAGAAAGTCAAATTGGTACACTCTACATGCAAGCTCTAATAGAAACATAGCTAATAGAAAAGAATACAAAGAAGATGGCAAGGTAAGGTGAGGTAAGGTATTCTCTTCAACCTTGAACAAACCCTAAAGCAGCTCAATTTTTACATTTGTTTTCACTGGTATGAATTAATTAATCATTAATTAATTAAATCAATTTCTGACATCTGCCATCTTCCCAGTATCTTTCAATTACAGCACTAAAATTGGTTTTGCTATGTCTATTATCTAAACAGGACAATATCTGCAATCATTTTAACAACGGGTCTCTTTTTTTGCATCAATGCTGTTTTTACAGATTAAAAAATGTATGTCATGCCCCTCTCAAAGCCTGGGAATGCAGAAAAGGGAATAACACAGGTTTTCTTTAGGTTTAATGACAAGTAAGAAGATCTACAGTTACAAGCTCATAATTTCTGCTCTACATTAACAATCAATTTGAACAACACTGTTTTGATAATGGGTTTGTAATTTTTAAAAATCTTGGATATACCTTAAAAGTTGAGTCTAAACTTTTGTTGCATATTCCAATTTCCCTCTCAAAATAAATTCAGGATAAGGATTAAAATAAATATAAAACCAATGTTAGGGGAAAATGTCAGGAATCAGAGCTGATCAGCCTGTCTGCAGATGTCACTTGACATGAACAGCTTTCTGTAATTTAAAAGTGCACAGAAGCTGACTAAAGAAAGGAGAGGAAAAAAAATACACTTGTGCTTAAACAGAACCTCAATGCATTATGAATTCCATAGTTTTTTATTAATGTAAGATAAATATCTGGCTTTTTTTCAGTAGTCCATTAGCATTCCAAATAGACTGCAGTTTATAAGGAATCATTAATTTCTTTGTATGTTAATAAGAATACCCCCCTGGTTATTTCACGTGGCAAGAAGTGCAAAAGACTTCTGAAAATGTAACACCACACACATGAATTGACATCAGAATATGCAGGCTTTCCATGATGCTGATCTAAGACAGTGATATCTGGCCCCCATATTTCATGACAGTAAAACTGCAGTTTTTTAAGACAAAGGGTATATATGGATTTCATTGCTACAGGGAAACACTGACCTAATAAATAATGCCAGAAAAACTGCTAGTCTTAAAGATTTAAAAAAAAAAAAAAAAGAATTACCAATCCTGGCGCACTTCCAGAATATCCCCAACAGTCTGTAAAGACAAAATAAATTCATTAGGCTCTTGGTTTAATAAAATAATCTAAGTCCACTGATTTTCTTTCTTCTGTGCTAAAACAATCTGAATTGACAGTGGTCTGACAACTTGACCCTCTTCTGGACATCAGAAACTAGCAGATACCTGCACAGAGGGGCACAGGCTATGAACTACACAAGAGGCAAAGTTCGAAGTCTAGCAAGGTGGGTTTTTTTTGCATGCAAGGAGAATCAAGATGCATTTAACTCAGTCTGCGTTCCAGATTAATTTCATCAGAATTTTGCATTAAAGTACCACACACAGAAAATTATCTTAACAAAAAATCCCAGAATCATATAAATAGTGGGAGTAGGAAATACCAACAGACCTCTACACCATTGTATGTGGGGAACTTTTTGTGTTAAAGGTTTTGAAGTGAGTTTTCCTGCAGGTATGAGAGATGATAAACCCAAGTACTTTAAATTCAATGCTTTGTAGTCTCTCTTTTGCATTTCCCTTAGTAACAGTGGATAAAAATGCCTTTTCTAGCAGGCATTTTTGTTCCCATAGGTGTAATCTGTTATAGAATGCTTGTGTTAAAACAGTAACAAAACTATTCTTATAGTTTGTTCTTAATCCTTTACTTACAATTTCTTTGTCTAACTAAAATAATCTCATACTTATTGCTCAACAGGAGCAAGGCCAGGGACTGCTTTAGGATCTGAGGAGGAGAAGGGAAGAATATGAGGCATCCTGAACAACAAAGCAGCTTTCAGCCTTATAAATGTTGGTCAAAAATGTTCCAAGCTTGTCTGCAGGAAGGTTTCCTTCATAATACGTCTGCTTACAACACAGTAAAAATGCCTGGATTCAACTATATTGTTTATTTACAGATTAATGGAGCAAAAAAAGAAGAAACTTGATTACTCTTCCTCCTTCTCCTGATACATGTATCAGCAGTAACTTCAGCCTGTGTTATTTGTGGGATTTTAACTATACCTGCAGTTCTCCAAGTGCTTTCCCACAGTGCTCTGAACTCACACTGACAATGGCTTGATTATCTGCCCTTCCCCTTTCTTGGGCTCTGGTAATTGCCTATTTTTAATGTGGTTAAGTGCAGACATGTAGGAATGGGTCCCTTGTCCTGCATCTTCAGTAGACAACACATCCTGCACCTTTTAAAATACAATTTCTGTGCTACTTCATATTTTATGGTCTCTTTTATGGCCTCAGTTTATTTAAACATGTCTTTCTCTTTCCATTTAGCAGCCTCACCTTTACTTCTGAAATAAAGACTGGGTGTCAGGCAGGTGAGAACCAAGTGAGGTAGCAAGTGACCAAGGTTTTCAAAGTGAAAAGCTTTATATCCAATGTACCTCTTGCTGACCAATTCATCATGAACAGTATTTCAGCATTTCCATTTCTAGAAAACAGGCTTTTTCATTTGGGCTTTAGATTGTTTTACCTCAAGCCAAATACATATGTATATGTTTATACTTATGTGGCTTTGACTGTATTTCTGTAAAGCCAAAGCTCTTTTTTTTCTGCTTTTATATAGCTCCACAAGCAGAAGTAATAACGACCGCATGTTGAGCACCACACTTTTCCAGGCTAAGAGGTCGTACAGGAAATCTGAAGACATCTAGGCACTTTTCGAGGATGCACACAGGTAGAAAGGCATTAACGTGTAAATCTTACGGAGCAAAACACACAACCCCACATTACTGCATGGGTAGCACTTCAGGTTCTCAAAAATATTGTCATTCTCTGTAAAATTGGAATTTACAGATTGTGTGCTGCAAAACCAACACAAAAACTTCCACAGCCCTGCTTCTCATGCTGCCATCTCTCAAAATCGTGCACAGGAAGGAATAAACATTACTGTTCCTTTCATGTGCGATTGAAGAACCTTGCCTGGGAAAAAGAATATTAACTCTTTCAGGAAGTCTATAAATACAATGAATTTGCCTCGCAATCTCAGCAAGTGTATTTGCTTCATTTTCTCAGGGTTTTTTTGGCTGTATATAACAACGTGAAGTTATTACTGAAGTAGTGTACATTGCTTCTAGCCCTCAATGAAAATACAAATGTCTGATGTGGTAGGTACACAACAGAATACGGGTTTCATCAGGTGCCCTTACTGCAGTTAACAATTTATGAACTTAAAGTCACTGACGGCGGACTGACGAACCTTCACACAGATGACAACAGCACCTTCTTAAGAAGCTTGTGTGCCACTGGAACAGCTCAGGACATCTGTTTGTTCACATACCCTGCTGCTAAGCAGAGGCTGATTGAAATCAGGACCTTCTAAACAGCTACAGTAATATCGTCTGGATGAACTGGGGAGCTCACACTGGCGGAAGAACCCTGTGCAGAGCTTCTGCTCCCCTGGATTTTTCCATTAGTTTTCATCTCAGGTTCACAACACTCAGCTCTTCAAGTCAAAATCTGTTCGCTTTTTACAGAAATGATGCTGCCTTAAATGAATCTCCTCCAAAATAATTCTTCCTGAAGCAACCACTCCAGGTAATTGCACTGTTCCTTACTCTCCTCTTCATGTTCCTATCCATCCTTGTTTGGAGGCAGGTGAAGTGTATCAGTCTGGCCTCCACATCTGCTGTTTTCTGGCAGCCACAAGCCAAATGTGCACAAGCTGCTGCCTATTCCTGGCTTTCAGTGTTAGATGTTAAAAGCCCTGATCATGAAAGCGGCATTGGTTGTCTGGAGAGCAGAAAACCCAAATAAATAAAACCCATTAAGTTGAGGAGCAGTTAGTGGGGCCTTAGACTTCGACTGCTGAACTGTGTATGTTGGGAAAATGCGGCTGCCACGTGTTCACCAGGACAACCCCAGTGCCACTGCAAGGAGGGAGTGTGAGAGATACCCCACTGAAATGTCTGTGGAAAATCAAAGGGAATCTCTGCTGCACATAAGCTAACACATCTTTCTGGCTAGCAGAGAGGAGGGAATTATGTTGTGGTACACGTTCTCCCCTAGTCAGCATGAAGCAGTAAATCTCCGCTTGCTTTCTCAGGCTTAAACAGGACAAAGCACATGGAAACGCTTCAAGGCGTGTCAGGGAGAATGAAGTTTTAAAATTTGGCTTAGCTTGGTAGGAACAGATAGACTTTGGCAGAAGTGAAGGGGATGAAATACAGTGTTAAGAGGATGGGTGACATCACAACACTGTCTCTCAACCAACAGAAAAATGCTTCTTCACTTACTGTCAACTCATTTAAATCCTCACCAAAGTCACCACTCAGAAACCGAGTGAATAACTACCAACATTCCTCCTCTCTGTCACTTTAATATTTTATTGCTACTTTTTTTTAATGCCATTAATTTGAAGCAGGAATGATGAGGTAAGCTCATCTCTGTGGTAAAATGAAATATCACCAGAATTTGTTTTATCCCATATGTCTAGATGTTTCCATCTGAGCATGGAATATGTCAGAGGAGAGGGACAGGGGTTTAACAGCATAGAGCTCCATGTAAACATCCACCACACAGGAAACAAATTTCATTGCTTCCAGGCCAAGGTTTAATTTTCCAGTACAAAGCAGTCTACATACACATATATGTATAAAACAAAATAGTATGTCCAACATCTATATAAATACAAACCTACAGATCAAACGCTCAACTCCTCCACTGTGTCAGCACCCTTTGAAACGTTTTATGAAGAGAGTTCTATTGTGCTCCAGACAGATTTGCCTCAAGAATAAACAGAGTAACTCCAGATTAAAGGAAATACTCCCTGCCAAGAACAGCACTAAAATTTTAATCAGTAAAATAAACATTCTTACTTCTTACTGTGTATACCTCATTGACTATTGTGTTATCTTCCACCAGCAGACACCCAAACTCCCCTCCCTCTCCCACTCCCTGTCCTTCATGAAGTCATCCTTTCTTTCCATCTTTACTTCTATCCAAAGAAACCTACTCTGTCAGTGGCAATTTCATATAAAAGGACACAAGTGTTTTCGTGTTAGAACTCCCAAATTTAAAAAATCAGGCATACTCTGGTTATCTTAAGATGCTAAAAGAAAAAAACCTGGGTGATAAAACATCAACTCCGGAGGTTAACTACAACGAAGAAGACAAACACTGAAGCTTCTTCGTGACAAGAGTCTACTTAAAACTTGAGAATTCTTCTGAAAATTAAATGCAGAAGTGACAGGAGATACTTAGGGAAAAGGAAAATTTTACTTAGCAGGAAATGATCTAATGGAAAAAAGTGGACAAGTCAAACACCCAGCACCCAAAAGCCTGTCTGTTTTTCCACCTAGAACATTTCCAGCTAGAATTACATCCTATTTCTACAAATACTATCTCCTTTCTACCAACCTCAGGTGAAAGTATTATGGAAATACTGTGGACAGCCTCAGTTGTTTCTATGTCATAATAGCCCAAAAATTACTTTAAAAACACCACAATTAAATGACAGTTCTGTTGATCACAGTTAAGAGTGTCCAAAGGACACAAAAAACATAGGTTAGGTTTGTAGCAACTTTTAAATATTCTTCTAGAATTCCTTCATCTTAGACAATATAAACCCATGATTTAAACAGACCACATATAAGGATAGTGTTGCTTATTTTAAAAAATATTCTTAGGGGTTTTTTTAGTTACAAATTATTGCTAAAGCTGTGTTTCAAACTTGTATCTCCAGAACACCTGTCTTGAAAACAAACAAAAAGCCAGCTTCTGCTGTTTTTTCTACCCACCCTAAGGATCAAAAATAAATCATTGCAACAATAGCCACATGTAGGAGAATGTTTCCTTTCTGGATCTCATGTCTGTATCTTTAAGAAGTATCTAACAACAAAGCTATAAACCCAGAAAATTAATAATGCAGTACTACTTAGGTTAGTTAGCTAATAAATTATTTCAATACAATTAAAACTAAGGGCTTGCAGATACCTTATTGCACTCTATTGTAATGTACAAAATGAAGATTTTTACTTCAAAGAGAGAAATTTTCCAAAATACTATTTGTATTATCACAGACACGATCAGAAGGTACTAAAAAGTTAAAACCACATAGCTTGTGCATTTGTAAAATTATCAGACTACATACCCAGTTTTATTTTTGTCCAGTAAGCTGGGAGCCAAGGATCTGATATAGGCACAGGTACATATGAGCAGCAAGATTACAGTCAGCAGACTCTGGAAGTTGAAGATGGCAGACTATGGAGGAAAATCAGAAGATAAAAATTACACCTTTGCAGTACAAAACTTTCCTCACTGGAAAAAAATAGGTGAACCCTTAGATAATACCCATTAAAACCAAAAATGAAACGAACAATGACGATGAGCCAGAAAATCTTTGCATCAGTAGAATAAGGCAGTGGTACAGAAGATGAAGACTAATTGGTGGTAAACCAGTGGCAGTCAAGAGAGAGAACAACAAGAAATAGGTAGGAGGATTGTTAATATACCCCTTTATGAAGACTACATGACAAATTTATAGATTCATAGAAACACAGTCAAGCCCATCTGAACTACAATAACTGATTACTTTTATTTTCAAATCACATTTTGATTTTTGATTTAAAACATCTTTACTGTAAATACATTTTTAGAATTGCTAATTACTTGGAAAATACTAGACAAATGGAGCTATTGCCTTTGGATTGAGAAATAAAGTCTTATTGTTTGATAGTAAACACTGATCTGCCTAGTGGCAGTAAGAAGCAATAATTCTTGAGAAACTGATGCAATACTTGGCAATTTAGTAAATTTTAAAGTATCAGTAATAGGCGGCAACTGCATATCAAAAACTTTTAAAATTTTTTTTTATGGTTTTGGGGTTTCTTTTAACTGTCTCAACTGGCATTTAGTCAGCTTAACAGCACCAGGTAATAAGGTAATTGCTTACTTCAAAAAGCTTTATTTTATCTTCACTCTGCTTCCCCCATTTGCAAATCCAATTTAGTGTAAACTCCAAAAAAAAAAAAGTCAAAGCAAATACAATAAATTCGTTCTTTGTTCTGATGAATTTACTTCTCATACTTTTGCACGGCTCAACCCAGATGGCTGAGTAGTGGTATTTAATTAAGGGTAAATATTTAGCACTTAGGAAGCGCTGTTACATTGCAGTTTCCCTCTCCAAGCATATTTTAGAGCACATCAGAGCCCTCATTTCCACAGCCTGAGCCACATCTCTGTTGATGCATGCGTGCTTTCTCCCTATGTCACAAAAGTCTAATGTTTAGAAGCTCAGATAATCAAGTTTCTCTACACAGTTAAGGAGAATTATAAAGGAACATCACAATATTTCAGTTCGGTATGGCACAAACAGCAAAACTGAGAGACAAGCAAGATGGTGTAGTAGAAGCAAAGCCACTGGAACATCCACAACCCTTCGGATATCAAAAAACCTTGTAACAAAAAAAAAAAAAAAAGGTCAAAAACTTTAGCTTATTTAGAAGTCCATGAAGCAAAAACATAAAATGCATACAACTGCCAGCCTGAATAAGTGCATTAGAAAGGGTTAGATATCCAGATTAATTTAAATATCCAACTTAACGGGGTCCAAGAGGCCACTATGTTAAAGGGAGCATCACAGAGAAGCTTAAAGAACAACTCTGCCTCTGCACCCTGTGTGAGAGATTTCAGCATCCCTGAAATCCAGCATTTCTAGGATGATGGAGAGGGGACATTACATCAGTGACCCAACACCCAGCATCAGCCCTTGGGCCCAAAACATGAGGCTTCTTGCTCTTCTTCTGAGCCACGGCATTTGCTTAAGTCATGTTTAATTTAGTATTTTAACCTAACTAGGTATCACTTCTGTCCTGCCACATCATAAATAATGGAGAGTATATTCACAAAGCACAAAACACTGCCCATCATCACCAGACTCCTGTGCCTTTGTAGGTGACAGGACGTTTTGCCAGCTCCAGAACCCAGGGAACTCTGGATTCCCTGTAGAGGGACCTGTTCTGTCCCACAGGACCCTGAGGGTCTGGGAACATGGCTGCCCCTCACCATAGCCAGATATTCCCTATCAACTGATTAACTGGATCAGTCTCCTGGGACAGGCAGCTGCTCTGCATATCTCACAGAGCCCTGTTCCCAGGAATTCCTGCAGCTGCTTCCCAGGGCGGCACTGGGCACCACAACACAGGGAAATGGCACCAGGGCACACTTGCTTCCCCTTCAGCAGGGACTGTAAATGAATACTCGTGAAATGTGTGCTTAGTCCATCAGCAGGGGCAGGGTATAATTGTTCTTTGTTGAGGTCCTCATGTGTTCCCCCAGACATACAATTACAGACCCCCTTCCACTGGATCCTGCCCTGAATGACACCTTTACCTGCACATCTGGACACGAGTGAGCATGCTAAAACTGGCCGACAATTTTAAACTGGAAATGAAAATTTAGTCCTGAATTAGACTGGCTTTGTTTTTTGCATCCCAAGTAATTCTTACAGCCCAGCTGAATTCACAGAAAACAGTGACTTATATCTGGCTGCTTCAACTGGTGTAATTAAAAGCTGCTGTGAGAGTTTTAAATTGCTCAGAATCCTTTTAAAAAACGCTGCACTCACATACTGAGCTACTTGGACAATGTAATGTAGGTGGGTTGCAGTTTATTTACTTCAACTGGGTTCCTCTGATCCAAAAGTAATTAATTAAGCTTAAAGTAGGTCCTGTGAGCTTCATTCCCACTACAAAGAAATCTCAGTATATGGAGACACTGATGCTGTCTTTTAGGCTGTGTCCACATGTGGGTGAAACTACAACTCAATTCCCAAGACCCACATTCAAATGCAGAAAAGAATCAGCACTGGTATTTTATTCTGGTTTTAGACAGTGCAAGCTTTAATTTTACAGGCTGAAATTCCCTGCATCTGCATTTAGTACATTTCTGACATGATGGAAACACCTGAGTGGTGAGAGTCCTGCACCCTAACCACTAGACCACCAGAGGCCGATTACTTAGGTAACACAGAGTGGAACCACTCAGGTGTTTCCATCATGGCCATTACTTACTGGCCATTACTTACCTAAGTAATCACAGCCCCCTGATGCCCCTCACCTGCAGCACTAATAAAGCTTTGTATCCTGAAGAACGTGCTAGAGTAAGCTTTTTCCAAAGTCATTAGAAATTTAAGAACACAGACTTCAGCTCTGAGAGCTACATGCCCAAAATCCTTCCCAAAATTAAACTTTTAAAAAAAGACGTTAATATTATTTCCTGATCATAATGGATCTTAGTAAAAACTCCATATAGTAAACCATAAAGAATGATTACTCCTGAAAGTTTTATTGTGCTTGGATTAGCAGTGGTGGCATATATTAAATTAAATACTAATGGGAATATACAGCAGTTGGAAACCAAATGGCACACCTAGGGACATCTGAATGTATTTCCATCTGAGTATAAATGAAGTTTAATATACTTTAATAACTGTCAATTCAAAGTTAAAAATTACTTATGTGGCTGAAAAAGGGAATCGTGATTGGCCACAACATTTACACAGGCCTTGTTAACCTCATTCTAGCCAATATTGCACCTCCTCTGATTTAGTCAGCATTAAATTTACTACACTTGCAGAGAGAGAAGAAAAAGAAGCAGCTCAGAGTTCTGGATATCAACAGCTCTTGCACTTTATAAGAATATTTAATTCAATTCACTGAGAGGACACAGATCATTGACTGAATTTTTAGTGATCACTGGTGAATGTGTATTCAGCCTCAGCAGAAACAGCTATAATGGATGCACTAATTTTAAACATGTTTCTGCACTGAAAATAACAGCCCATGGACAAGACACTAATTATTCCACCTCTGCAGTTCTCTTTCACTCCATCACGCCAACATTCTCTGCTGCAGACATGGCTCTGTTCCATGTCCTTGCAGACAACACTAGAGTTACCAAGTGATGCATTTACTGAGGCAACTCTTGGGTAGCACTGTAATAAATGACATTGTAAGTTCTGTTGTAACTCTGTGTCACAATGGCCCTGCTGACTTTCCCCTTGCCTCATATACTTTTGTTTAAAACAAACTCCTTGATACCATGCTTCCAGGAGAAATAAAACATGCAGGAGAACATAAACCCCATGCTGTTTGTCCTATTGGGCTGGTAGGAAGCCTAAAATAAAAGCTCTCCCAGTTCATCTCAACAGGCTTAGCACCTAAACTGAAGTTTAACCTCCTCTAGACTTGAAGTATTTACAAAATTATTCTGTCTCTGATTGCAGCGTGACCATGATGATTTCATCTGTGTGTGTTACAAAAGAAGAGGCCACTGTAGCGCCATTAAGTTGCTAAACTTTGTCCTGTGGTTACTATTACAATAATCAATTTATGTGGACAAACACAGATAAATTACTGGAATATTCTAAAGAAAGTATAACCTCATTTGTGTAACATGCTGCAGAACATTCAGTCTTTCTAGAACAGTTTTATTTTCTGTTTTCCTCCTTAATATTATAAAATTAATGGATGATAAAGTGTTCTGGGACCAAAGAAACAAATACTGATAGGCAGCTAAATGACTGGGTTTCCCATATTAAGCAAGAGCTCACACCCTGCAGTTAAACTGTAGTTAAGCAAGAGCTCATAAAAATCCCATCATACAAAAGGGAAATCAATCTATTAAATTTTAATGAAGTTCTCACAAAGCTGAAAGAGAAAATGCTTATTATCTAGGGTTTCCATTAGGCACTTCAGTTCTTATTTCCCCAGTTGAAATCAAATTTTTAGGGGAATAATATTGAAAAAAAAATAACAGGAAATAAAACATGAGGGACTACTCACAACCTGGAAGTCAAAATAATTGCTAAAAAGTAATTAAAACATGCATCTAATTTTATTATTTTCCAACCTATTAAAAAAATAATTATTTTCACCACTGCTGCCAAATGCAGCCTGATAAAAATGAATGGAAAATGAGCATTTGTAAAAGAGGCATGATAATTACAGCTATAAAAATACACAAAAAGTGCAAATTAGTTAAGTTTGAAGTGATTATAGGCAAAATTACACTACAAAACTAAGCAAAGTGTGTTTAGAAAAAACTGGTTTGTGCTTAATTAATATCCAAATACTGGCCAATTGCAGTTACTGGTTGTTCCAACACAAATATGGAGTTTTACTCTGGATTTACAGCATATTCTCCTCAGTATTTAGTTTCCAAAGAATTTAAGCATAATGTTTAACCGTCATTCACATTTCTGTCTAAAATATGTATTTCTGGACTCATAAAATTTTGGCTAAGCCTTGATTAGAGTAGTAGGGAATCTTTTCCCTAGGCATTTATTGAAGGAGTACATTGGCTAATTTAAATGGCAAGCCCAGCATGTAGGAACTGACATGTAAGCTTTTCAGTCAACTGAAGACTAATATATCTATTTAAAACACTAGCCATCTCTTTAAACAATTAATTAACATATGGAAACAGTTGCCCTCTCCCATAAAAGCTCTCTTTTAATTTTAACACATTTAGGTTTCTTACTGCAATTCAAATCCAAAGAACAACAGTGAAAAGACACCTCAAGATGACGATGCTGAAATTCCACTCACTTGAATTCCTTCCTCTTTTCCCCACTATCTTGTTTGAAAATTGAACTTTTGGTATAAGCCTCTAGCAGACAGAGCATTTCATAAAAGTGTCTTACAATAAAACTCAAAGTGACTATTAACCTCTTTTATCAGGGTCAATGTAACACAAAGGTGTGTATATCCAGACATTTACTCAAAACCCACAGAATTATGGTAGATATGTCAGTAAAAACTTAAAGTGTCTTTTCCTCCAGGTCTCCTTTGTAGATTACATAGTTTGCAATTTTACAGAGACTTTTTTTCTCCACTCTCTTCCCCCATCAGACAAAAGGAATACTTTATATAACCCTTCTATTTAGGATGCTAAAGCTAAGTATGTTCTCCAGAGTAAGAGAACATATTTAGTAGTTCAGAGCTTTCTGAAAGGATGTAAATCTTGATTTGTAGCTCTTTCACCTTTCCTTCCCTAAAACCCATAAAAGATTTCTAAAGTGTAGTGAAACAGAAGGAAAAAAGTTATATATATATATTAAAAAAAGACATCTCCCACACCACTCTCCTTTCTGAAGTTTTCACCACACTGCTTAGTTTACCTCAAAATTTACTGGGTAAACTTATAAAAGCTGTGTATGTGAATGGAAGAGATAAGAATCATTATAAAGCACATTTTGAATCAGGTGACACCCTCACTCTAACAAAAGCAGTGTGCAAAAAATATGATTTTATAACGGAAGGTGCTACAGGAATGTGCACACGGACACGGGAGAAAGTCTAAGTTCTCAAAAAGAAACATAATTTACTTAAGAATTAAAAAACAGAACCACAAATACTTTATATATACTATTTACTTTTTCTCTTTTTTTCATTAATAGTAGAACTAACCCTCTAAAACATGAAAAGCAAGTAATTCTGTATCAGGAAAGAACATACTTAGACAAGAAGCCATGAAAGGCTCTGTTAAGTGTCTGATGTCCTATGGCACTGGGCAGGTCCTCTGCAGGTCTCTTGTTTGGCAGAGTTTGGGTGCATGGTTTGAATATTTAGCATCTGGAAGACAGGTAATATTTTTCAAAAAATTCCAGGGGTTTCTACTTTATTTCCGTGTCCACAAGACAATCAGAAAATTAAACTGTGTAATTAAATTTAATTGTTCAGCAAAGAAATGGTTTCTCACAACCAGTGCCATTCCTGGGAAAACCTGTAAAAGCAGACTCATTGCATCCTACTCTTCCCAAAAGAGATCAAGAAACGCATCTCACTTTGGCAGAAGAAATAATTTCCTCTGTTCTACAATTACAGAAATAAAATATTCCTCTGAAATTATAGGATAAAAATATCTACACTGAACACTTCAAGTTATATATTTTCACACCACAAAGACACCTTAAGACTATCAGATGCAGCAGATGTTTTTAAACCTATGTACCTTTCAGCCATGATAAAAAGAAATCTGAACCAGGATTGATTACTTCTTGTAATATTCAATAAGCCAAACACAAAACTTTGTACTTGAAGACTCCTGAGAGCTCTTTTTGCAGGACAGTGTCTCGGGTTCTGGTATGCTTATATCCGACAGCTTGGTTTGAAATAATATTTACTAATGAATGTTTTTACAATTGGCTCTACGAGCAATTCCCATTCCTTCCATAAACACCAACCTAAGAGAGCAACAAAGATCATGACAGAAATGTTTGTACTTGTGGAAACTTCTCAAACTGATTTTTTGGGCAGTAATGTGGGGCCAAGATCAGGCCCAACCACAGGGTGAGGGGGAAGGAGCCATTTTTGTGACGTTTTCTGCAACTCTTAAAATTTTCTCCATCATCAAATTTTGTTTGATTGCAACTGCACGTTTTTGCTATGAAGAGGAGCAGCTGTGTTCTCCCTCATAGTTAAGTGTGAGCTTAAAAGTGTCTTTTTTTCCCCTAAAAAGCCATGAGACCAGAGGTGGCACCACGGAGAACCCAAAATCTTGGATATGCCATGAGGGTTGTTGCTCCCCCTGAGGAAATTAAAACTCCACAAAGTCTGAGTAACTTCATTTACATAAAATCATGAGAAAACCAATCATTAGAAGATTCTTTTGCTTCAGGGTCCTTGAAGCACCACAGAGGAACAGGGAACATGGACAAGTGGAGAAAGTAATTCTCACAAGATCTCATGTACTTGCCATAATCTTATTAGAGACGAGCATTAGTATTTATTTTTTAATTATTTGTATATATATTTTATATATAATGCAAACCTATATATTCCCGTATAAACATATATTACATATAAACAATATCAGATAATAATATTATTAAGTACTTGTATTTAAGAGTTTAAGTGAGAAACAGAAATGTCTCACTGAGTTCTCTTGCCTTTTTGTACCATCTCAAACCCTTTAAGGTACTATGAACAACAGAAAGGTGCTGTTATAATTCAGTATATCTACTTTTAAAGGCACTGACTAGGGATGTCTTGTTTTCTGCATGTGTGTTTTAGATATCCTGAGATAATTTATGCCTCTTATCACAAAAAAACTCCCTTTGTTCACTGCTCGAAGACACAGATAAGAACAGGTTCATCTAAAAGATCTGCCAAGGAATGCTCAGGTGAGCAACGTCCAGTAATTTCCTGTTGGTGACAAGGTCTGGAGCACAGGAAAGTTAAAAAAGGAACCCTTTGGTTTTTGCACTGAGCTATAAGAAAGTTCAAGAGATATTTATCTTTTCTATAAATACACAGGAAATACAACGTGATCCCTGCCCATAGGAGGGGAGGACCAGGGGATCCTTAAAGGCCTCTTCCAACCTAAGCCATCCTGTGATTATCAGAAAAATGTTGAAAATTCCCATATTAAAACAAAGTTACATACAAACTTCAATTTTACGCAGGGAAAACTTATCTTGACTCAGTTATTCCTTTGGTTTCCCTTTTAATTTTAAAATCATGTATCTAAACCACTCGTATAAACATTATACCTATATAAATACATAAACCTTGCCTGAGCAAAAGTATATCACTGCACAGCTCTTAACTATGACACAAATGCAAATCCCTCATTTGTATTATCTGTCCACAGAATGGGGAAAAAAAGCAGGAAAAATATAAATAACGAAGTCCCTCTAGGCCAACTCTCTATATAATGAGTACACATACATATACACACATTTATAATGAGTACACACATATATATACACAAACATACTCTTTATGTGTATGGTTTTATATAAATAAATATATATATTCAAAATATATAAGTATATCCATATGTTTAATTACAGACTTACATGGATCTGTATATTTTATATATTTATATTTATATATGGATTATACATAAAATAAACACATATAAGCATGTGTTTATATAATCATGTATAAATTTATAAACATACAAAATATATTAATATATACTTATATGCACAATACTTTAGATTTGTATTGTTTTATTATTTTATATATAATTTCATTATGTAATTTAGATATTACTTTATATATAATTATAATAATTTGATGACAAAATTTATATATTACTTCTTATATAATTATAATTTATATATATTTATATATATAAAAACATAAGTTATATAGACCATGAACAGTTCTCAACAGCAGATGAACCCTGGTCTCTGACGGTACCCACAAAACCGAGGAAAGCAGCCAATGCCAGGGTTCAGCTCACTGCCCAAGTTGCGTGACAACACAGATCACACAATGACGTCACGCAACCACTCCTGCGTCCTACACCACCATCATGACGTCACGAGCTCGTGAAAGACACAAACATCCTCCTGTCCTACGCCGCACGGGCCGGCACAGACACAAAACGTGTCTTTTTTCACCCAGAACCGTGACGAATGCCCGCTTCGCCTCACAGCCGGCAAAGCCTCAGGGCCGCTCCGCGCCCGCGGCCTACGGCGTGAGCGGCCTCTCTGTGGCGCCGCCAGGCCCAGGGGGTCCGTGGGTATGCGGCGTTGCCGGTGCGGAGGCAGGCGTGCGGGAAAGGCCCGCGATCACCCAGGAGTGGAGCAGGACCCACGCTTACCATAGCGCCGCTCCGCGCCACCACCTTCCGGCCCTGCTCGCAGGGCGGAACCGCGCACAGTGTGTCCTCACAGCCTGGGGGCGGGGCCGCCATTGCCATTGGCTGATGGAGCAAGAAGGCGCTGCGATTGGTCGCAGAAGCAGGCGGGGGGTGGGACGAAGGGGGCGGACGTGGCACTGATTTGCTGCCGGGGCGCAGGCGGAAGCGGTGGAGCGGGAGGTAGGTTCGGCGTCCCGCCCTGCCCTTTGGGGGGATTGGGCTGTGTGGCACCTGGATTGGGGATCCGAGCGGTGATCCACGGGATGATCCACGCCGTTCGCCGCTGTCCCGTGCCAGGATAACGCTATGACGGCGATCAGTAACCCCTCACCCGGCCTTGCGCCTCCAGGCACGCCGCAACCACGTGTTTTATTCAACGTGAAAAATGTGGGGGTTTTGGTGGTTTTTTTGGTTGCTTGCTTTGTTGGTGGTTGTATTCGGGGTGTGGAGGGCTCTCCTCGCCTTTCGGCCCTTGCAGGCGTGAGCCCTGTGCTGCCGAAACCTTAATAACATAAATAACGCCTTAATGAGGCTAGTTTTTTTAATTAGCAGCTTCTTATATTTTCTTCTTCTGTTGTTCCATAGGCACAATCCAGGCTGGCTTTGGAGGCTACCACAGTCTGCTCTGGTCTCTTGTATTTTGGCTCCTGTGCTCTGTTTTCCCCTTGCAGGAGTTTTCATCTTCTTGTCTATAATTGCATTTCTCCAAGAATTTTTGAATTTGTTGTCTTAAAGGTGCGTTGTGTCCTCATCATGAACACGGTGTATTCTTTTGGTGACTGAAGACACAGAGTAATTAAAAGAGCTTAGGTTTCCAGTCATACAGACCTCAAAAAGCATTCCTTGGTTTTCATGTCTCTGTTCTCTCTGTGTTTTGGCACCAAATTGTTCTTGTTTGTTTGCTCAATGTGGAACAGGTTTTGCTTTTTCCCTTCGTCAGGAGAAACATTTTTCACCCTAAAAATAACATTCTGGGATAACATTTTGGGATAACATTTGACATTATTCCTGAAGCTGCTGACAGTTTGTGTATAAAATATGTTTTTGTAGTGGAATCAAGGCAGTGGTCCACTAAAGCAGAGGATTTTAAGGCAAGTGACACATACACAACCCACTTAAAATGCTGTTGATATCTTCTACAGGGCAACTTTGCTTGCAGTAGTAGCTTTGGTCACTGCAGTTTACATTTCTCTGATCTCAGATTTGTAGTCCCCAAAAATGTGACTGGGATGTTTTCAGCAAAATCAAATGTAGAAGCTGAAAATGAAAATAATGTTTCAGCAAAAGCAGATGTAGAATTTCTCGTGTGGATTTTCTTGCATAACTTGCTTTTCTAACTTGTGGGTTTCAGGCACTATGTTGATTTTGGATTTGTTCTTACTTTTGTCTAGATTGTTTAAGTTCTAGTAACCATGAAGGCACATTAATTTGCAAATTCATCTACTGATTTAACAGGTAATTAGCAACACATATAATCATTTTCTCATAATGTGTTCATACGTCAGTAGTTTCTGATATTTCTTACTCCTTTTCTGATACTTGTTATTCTGTTAGTGAATTAACATTCATTGGATCTGTTTCTTGTCATCACCTGTCAAGGCTTAGGATTAAAAAAAACCCTAAATGCAGTAAATTCTAAACCCAGCTTTATTGTCTAGGATAACCTCACATTAAAGTGCTTGAATGATGTCACACTAAGGGACATTTCTAAAGAGAAGGAAGTTGTGACTGTAACTAGTGGACAACCTCTGGTGGTCACCATGACCCAAGATTTTAGAGACAATAATACCTTTGAACTTTTCTTCTGTGTGTCTCTGAGACGGAAGGAGAAAACTCGGTTGTTTTGCCTTTTTCGATTCACTTTTGGATGCTCAAATGTGAATTAGCTACTCAAAAAGTTTTCTTGTGACATTCAAGGAGAGTCCAGCTGTCAGTGCATGGTCACACCACAACCTTCTTTCAGGTTGTCAGCTAGGTTCCTCTAGTGTAGTTTTGTTTACAAACATGCCCTATATGATAAATTTTTTATACTTTTTTCCTACTCCAGTAGTTTCTGGTGAGCTCCTGTGTGAAATCCCTTGCAGATGATTGTGCTCATGGATGTGCCATGAGTCCTGCAGGGTCACTTGCTGTTTTGTCTCTGTGCCTGTTTCTGATGTGCTTGTTATCTTTCAGTGCCACTTGAGGATGAGAAATTTTAATCCCTCACTCTTGTCACCTAGGGATTAGCAGTAGGTTGAGGTTGTTTTTTTAAGGGGTTATTTTAGAGCTCAGGAGCCCCAGATGAAAAAGCAACACAGGTCCTTGAAGAGTGGGTGGAATCACCCAGAGTCTGGGGTGAGGTTTTCAGGGACTCCAGTTATTACCTGATTCTTCAAGGTTAACAGGAAGCAGCTGTGATTTCTTCACTGATATACCTGGCAAAAATGTGGGGTGCTTGTTGATACTGTGTGGAACACATAAAATCATGTGCATGACTTATGATCTGGACTAACTTCATTAGATAACTAAGAGTCTAATTTAGACAGCTGTTGTAAAATGCTATTAAATGGGTCTTGAAATGATATTTTTTTCCCACAAAAAATGGAGTTTGCTCTAGTTCCATCCCTGACTTGAGCTGTATCCTTTTCCTTGGTTAAGAAACAGTTGCTTTCAACTCCTGCTAATTATAATCAGGATGTCTTTGTGGATTTTAGTCTTCCCCACCTCCTTTATCTCTGTAGATGAGGTGGAAAAAAAGGGAAGGTGGTAAAAACCTACTGTGATTTTGAAGATTATGAGTGGAATGTTATATCAGATAATGTAATGGTAAAGGACTGGTGTCCAAGATATGTCAAGACACAAAGGAGTTACTGAATTATGTTTGGTACCATGTTGACACAAGCTCAGGCAAAATGTAGAAAATAATTACAAAACAAATTACTGTTGTTTGCTGATCTAACAGAGTCAAATCTGATCAACATGAAGAACACGTCTTACAGGAAAAGTTCCAAGTTGGAAAAAAAAGGTTCATTGTATGTGTGTGCCTGGGCAAGGGCCTCTGGTGTTACTGTCTCTTAAGGCAGACTAGTGATTTCACAAAATATTTCTTGATTAAATTAGCCAAATTTGCAAAGCATGGAAAAATGTTGGATATTTCTGCATCTCCTCTGCAGACTCTCAGCTGAGTCTTCTGTGAAGGGGTATCCTCCAACTGAGCACAGAGATAGAGCAGAGATTGTGAAATAAATAGTAACAAAGGGAGACCGATATTGTGTGATTTTAAGAGCAGAGAGACTGAGAACTCTTGTGCCCTTGATCTAGACATCAGCCAAATTGCTGGCTATCTTGGGGCAGAAATGATTAGAGGAAGAGTGAGGCTATATATCCTATCACAGCCTGCATTTGTATTTGTTTGTTTTTTGGTGTTTTTTTCATTTAATTGTTTTTGTTTGTTTGTTTGTTTTGGTTTTTGGTTTTGGTGGGTTTTTGATTGTATTTTTAAAATTATTCTAATGATTATGAAAAGGATTGTTTGTTTACAAGTCTACAAAGGGGTTATAGTGGCCACCCTTTTCAGCACAGTAGCTGGACAGGAAAGAGGGAGCCTGGGGCTTTCCAAATGCCTTCAGCTGTGTCAGGCCTGAGGTGGAAACCTCACAAAAGCCTGAGGAGGGATTTGCCTGGGCTGAGCCAATGAGCAAAGATACAACAGTCTTTGGAGGCAGCCAATTGTGTTGTGTGGGCTTATATTAAATTAAATTACCCCAACTGAAAAACTGGTCGTTAATTTGCAGAGTCCAGCATGGCCTGGGCAGAAATGTTAATTTTGGTGAAAGCTGACATAATTATTTTTGGAGATAAGAGGCAAGGAACCAGGTGAAGCATCCTGTGTGTCTTGGTAATGAACCTACTTGACTTAAATCTCCTGAAGGAAGTATTAGAGAAAAGGTTTTTTTTTTTTCCCCTCTGTATTGGTCAAAGTCTATAGGTGAAAAATGTGCTTTGTATTTCATCGTTTTTTAAAATCTTGGCTGTTCCACGGATTAGTTTTATTAACCTTGACTATCCTAAAAATATTTTTTAATTTTCTTTAAATAAAGAGGTAGAGGAGGAATTTTTAAAGTATATATTAATAGTACATGTATAGTATGTGTATATTTTGCATAGTGTGTATATATACTTATATAATTTATATTGTATATATATATTTCATTAATTTCAGATTCATGTTGTGATTTTGGCCCTTTTGATGATAAAAAAAAAGGGGGAACTTGTAACACTGAAAGAGAAGAAAATGTATTGTGGAGTACTTTACCTAAAACTGCAATGAAACAGTTTATTTGGACTGTGGAGAAGTGACTCTTGTGCACAAAGAGTTTGTGCACAAAACACTTTTGTTTTTTTTATGCTCATGTACCTGCATTAATTCAGTTCTTAGGCTTACATCCTTAACACAGCACCCTAAGACCCCTCTGGTGCTTCAGACTTTACATTTTAAGATCTCAAAACTCTGTGTAACTGGTAGAGTGTCAAAGCACTTTTATGCTGTGTTTTCCTAATGAGTGCTTAATTGCCCTCTCAGCTCAAGTGTCAGTGGCATTTTTCCCCTGGTGTGCCCCTGCTGTGTCATCTGCAGATTTCATTTAAAGAATTCTTTAGTAGATGTGAGGCAAAACTAATATTGAAAAGCTGGTTTCCTGAAGTAGACTCCCCACTTGGCATTAAGTGTCTTGTGTAAGGGTTAAATTTTTGAGCAGGGTTTTGTTGGTTTGTTTTTTTTTCTTTTTTTTCCTAGTCCACAGTAAGAACTATCACATGAAAGAGTTATGAAAATTGCTTGGAAAAGCAGTGAGCTGATGTGTCTGGAGAGGCTTTATATTTTGTATGTACAGAACTTAAGATGCAAAAAGCACAGGGGACTCCTGTGAAGCTCTTTGTGGGTTCTTTCCTCCCTGAATGTGGCTTTTATTTGAAGTTCTGATTCACTACAAGCTCATAGACTCATAAATGATGGCTCAGGGTGTAAATTCAGTGGCCACTGAATTTTCTGTGGAACTGTGTCCTTATTTTTTTTTATATATATATATATTTTTTTTTTCTTAGAACAAAGGTTCTTGTTTGCTCAGTGCTTAGTGAGGTTATGGGATTTGTGTACTGGTGCTTCTGCCCTGTTTTGGTTGGTTACATGTGCATTATCACAAAGCCTAAGCTAAAGTGGTGCCTGTGGAAACAAGTGAATAGGTATTCAGTGTATATGTCTCTTTGCATTATCTTCAAACTCCGCCTAATCCATCAGAAAAGTAATTAATGTTCAATGCCAAGTGACAAACATGACACTTAAATTTAAGTGCATCGAAAGTGAATAACTCAGTTTGTTGTGAACATCTTGTGAATTATTTTTCCATGTGGGTCAGACAAAACAAAGTGAATTACAATTTTTAAATTAATAAATTTAAGTAGTGTGAGCTCTTTGTTTTCAGGGAGCTCAATGTTGCCTTTTTCCAGTAGATAAATAGTGAATGGAAAGAAAAACATAATAAAACTTTCGTTAAATGAAGACTGAGTAATGCAGAATTTTCTTCAAAGAAAGTGCCTTAGGAAACAGTTTAGCAAGATGAAGCAATTTAAAGCCTGAGCCCATTTTTTATTATTAATTTGACAGGGACGTGAAATTAAAATAATCCATCTCTTTGAAAAGTCTTAGGTGTAGAGGTGGGAGGATGTGTAAGGCTTCACATTTATACCTGCCCTTGTTCCACTGAAGTGGCTACATTTGGTGAAACTTATTTTTCAGGTTACTGGGCTCAATTTTTCAAAACTCCTCAGAAACCTTACATGCAGAATTATGCCCATACGTATTTACCTGACACACTGATTTCTTTGTTTCATTTATCTTTGTTTCAGACTTATTACTCTTGCCTATGGAGCTACTGTGGATTCAGTAGTACTGAATTTAGTAGACTGAAAAATTAAAAAAGAAAAAGGCAGATTTTAGTGGAATCTGTCACTCAGTGATGTTAAGTTTAATGTGTTTACAGAAACAGCGAGGTCGTACTATGGGGACTAAAAAGTAGAAAACAAAGGAAGTCTGTGGGACAGATTTCTATTGAATATCCTGATAATATTTAATCCTGAAGAAGGCAGTGTTTTGGAAAACAGATGATACCTCAACCAGACTACTGTGTTATCCAAATATACATCAAAAAACATACATATCGGAGTATTTTTGGATGAACAAAGGGTGATTAAAACATGCTGCTTTTTTTTTCCCCTCCCCTAAAAAATTCCTCAACTGTACTGTCTTCAAATACCTAATATTGTATTACTGAGCACTGCAGAGATGTTTTAAAAATACGTCTAAGATACTTGAAACTGTCATATCTTTGTTTTTACTGATTGAATACGTTGGGCTTAGAAGTTGCATCTGGCACAATTTCCTTTTTCTGCTTTTTATCTGCAAAACTCGTAACACTTTTAGTGCTGTCTTTTCAGAGAGATTATGGGGGACATTGATATATGCTTATATTGATTTTTTTTTTTTTAATTTAAATGGGGAGGTGAGTTATTTTGGAGACACATTTATCTTATTAATAAATAGCCTGAGGGTTTCAACGGGAGGCACTATACCACCCTTGGCTTTGGTAGGACCTTGGAAAGCCAGGGTGGAGTTATAAAGGATTTGTTGGGACTTGCGTCTCCCAGAGGCAATGAAGTAGGGGTGTCTGAGTCTCTGACACATGCCTGCTGACTCTTCATCCCAGATCTGCCCTCTGGAAGCTGGTCTGGTTGTTATCTTTCATCTTTGCTCCCTTCTATGCACACGTTTTAGTAACTTTGCCACAAATATTAACCTTTTCATCAGTAAATGTGTTCATTGCATGACTTTATTTTATTTTTATTTTATTGTTTACAGGTTTATAACAGTGTATCCTGGTTTATCTTTGGATGTTAGAAAGTGAGGATTTGCCAGCACACTGAACTGTTAGCGTTGGGAAGTATTGGTAGAAAAGGGTGAAAAAGAAAGGTTTGTCCCTTTTATAAAAAGCTATCTGGGTATTCCCTTATTTGCTAGTATTTACTAGTATAATTGCCCACTTGGGTGTTTATTTTAATACATTGAAGGCCTTTTTTTTTAACCTTATTACAGTTTAAGGTAGATGCTCATAAGTAAACTTGGCAAGTCTGGATGCCTGGAGTGGGTAGTGGGTTAGGCCTGAGACTTCAATGGGATGAAAGACACCAGGGTGGGCTTTGCCTCCAGGCTACAATTAAGATCAAGGCTTTTTAGTAAGATTCATACTATAAAGGTTGTTGACTGTCTGCTTCCTTCTGTTTCTCCTCATTTTTCAGCTGGTGACTGTAGTAAATAAGCCTGACAGGGGTTGTTCCTTATCATGGATTCCACATCTTTTGTGGCAAATCTTCTATATCTTGCTGTCCCATGGGGTTTGACAAGCTCAAGACTGATTTTTTTTATTTTTTTTTTTTTTTTTGTTCTTTTTTTTTGTTTGTTTTGGTTTTGGGTTTTTTTTTGAGGGAACAATTGCACAGAAAAGTATGTGTATGTTTCCAATCCTTTTGTGGCTGCCATGAAACAGTGGGAAGGAAGCAGTGCAAATATGAGCCATGTGAGCCTTGATTCTTTAGTTCAGTCTATGATTTCTTGATCAAATATTGCCATGTAGGACCAAATTTTTAAAATGGCCCGTTTTCCTGCACAAAGTTATAAACCCGCTCAGTCACTGCTTCACATCCAGTACCAATTTTTGGTTCATTTATCTTCAAGACAGAGCTGCATTATTGACAAAATTGTAATCCTTGTGCTTTTAATATAGAGTAAATTTAAAAGAACCACTAGATATAATTTAGGATGCATGTAATATAAATTTGCCTTAGCCCCCTAAATTTCATTAGAAAAAAAGAGCTCTTTCTAATTTTTTCTTCTCTTCTTTGGTATTCAGATTTATCTTTAAGTTACAGATGAAGGCTATTATTGAGGCTTTCTTCAGTGTCAGACAAGTATTGTGGCCAAGGGGATGGGAAGCTTTTTGTGAGATGGGACAGGAAAGATGCTGCATTGTTTTCGTCATGTTTCTTGGCCCAATAGTGTTCTTTCAAAAAGAAAAGAAAGAAAAGGAAGTCTCTATTGAATCAATAGTAGTTCTAAGATTAATGCAGTCAGAGTTGAAGTTTTTGTCAGGTCTTTTAATGCTCTTTCTCTTGAAGTATTTGAGTTAATGGAATTATAAATTAACATGCGAGAATATCAATTTCTGTGAAATATATAACTGGAAATATGCATAAATATAGGTATTATCTTATTTCCTCCTGTTAGAAAACATGGTGATAGCTAGTTTTAATCTTTAAAAGCAATCTTGAGTTTTTCTTGATTGGTTTAACTCTACAATTATTGACTTATAAGTATGTGTAGGATCTCCTGAACAGCACCTGTTCTCTGATTATAAATTAACTATTAACTTCCTTCTGATTATTGGATTCTGGTTAGTAGTTGTTCTGGTCAGAAAGGATCAAACTTTAGTCTTTAATAGCAGTGTATGGTCTTCTATTCTGAACTCCCATTTTTCTTAATAAGAAAGCACTTAAGTTAATTGCTCCCTTTCAAAGACATAGTAGCTCTTTCTGGTCTGTAAGTAGCCTTTCATGCATAGCTGCTGAGGTTTGAAACACCTGCAACCCAAGCAATTTGAAAAAAAAAGCCATTAGTCTGCATGAAGGAAAAAAATAAAGTGCTGAAGTTCAAAATATTATCAATGATGCTGTGTTGGAGCAGCCTGAAAGATCTGGCTTTTGGTGTGGGCTTAGTGCTATCCAAAACAACATATAAAATCCTTTGTAAACCAGTTTTAAAAGTGTCTTGTTTATTCAGAAGCCCCTGTGTGCCTTGTTTGTTCTGAGAGCAGAGGCACCAGCCAACAAGTGATTTCTCCTCAGAAAGAAACATTGCCTAATGTAGATTATGGAAGCCAAAGACCAAAGGGACAAAGTGCTAAAGATAAACAGCTCAATCTCCAACTATTCAAAGGCCTCAGTAAAGCCTCTGATTTACAGATTTGGGGTGGGACTCGACTATTCCCACCTGCAAGTCTTGGGTCCTTGGCTCTGGCATGGTGAGGTGCTGGTGTTCTGTGTGACCCTCTGTGCCCTTCAGGAGTAAAACACTGGCTTTCTTATGGCCCTAGCACATCAGTGTTGTGCAGGTATTCTTTGTCATAATCAAGAGAAGGAAGAAAGTACTGGCTGCTCCCATTTTACTGAGACAGTGAAGGGAAAGAGCCCACAGACATGGCATTGGTGAATATCGAGTGGCACTTGAAAGTACTCCTCTGGCCTGATGGATTCAGAGGTGCTCTTTAGACTGCAATAATGAGTCTGATTTCAATAATTTAGTTTATTGGGCAGCAATAAAAACATAATCTATTTTTATGCAATGATTTTATGTTTTTTTGACAATCTTTGCCAGCAGCTGGACTGGTAAATAGTAAGACTCACAAAATTCAGGTGGCTCTTTTAACCATTTTGAACATTAATACAGTTCCTACCTTCCCACCCAAAGATGCAAAAGGAAAAGTACGTCCTAAAGTTTCAACTTTGTCTTTTTGGCTCTATTTCATAATGAAATTTTGACTTGGTGGAAGTAGTTGATCGGTGAAGAGTCACGTGCACTTGGCGTGTTGGAAGGTGATGGGGTGATGAGGGAATTTTAGTGAGCAGGTGGTGGATTGGGATGGATTAGTTATGAGGAGAGTGTTTTGTGTCAGCTCTTGAAGTATAGAGCAAGACATCTTTTAAAGATGTTAAATAGAGTTACTGGAATGTAGGTAGAATGTCCAATTTCCAAATTCCTCTGCCTGAAGTTCTTGTTTTGGAAATACAGTAGTGTACATCTATTGTTGCCTTTAGAATGGGTGCATTCACCTTATGGTGAATTAGTAAGGAATATGCTCCGTTTTAATGTCTGTATTTTTATTTTGTATTGTGGTAATTGCTAGCTGCTAAGTAGTTAGGTAGCTCCTTTGCTATTTTTTGCTGTATTCATGCTTTAATTGTATGCAGTATATCCATTTACTCAACGCTACACTAAACTCTGAAAGAGTTTTATTGTTGGGAGGCTTGTGGAAAAGGAAATATTTTTTTTGTTGTTTTCATTACTGTTTTGTTTACAAACAGGTTTTTGCAAAAGCAGTAAAGTACAATATTATTGTTTGCAGTGTTGTTTCTATGTGCTGTGTTGGTCAGACTGATTTTCACGAAGAGGGTTTGTTCCTCCTCTTGAAGAGAAGTATATAACAGTCATTATATACAGCCAAGAACCCTTAAGCTTTTGCTGATGGGTTGGAACACTTGAGTGCTTGGGGATGTGAAGTCAAGCTGAGCTCTGCTTAGTGAGGCAGTTTCTAAAAATGAAGTAATAAGAAATACTCCTTTCAAAAGGTCAGTGAGCACACTGGAGGAGATAAAAGCTGGGAGAAAGTATCTTCATTTTATGCTGTCTGGGAAAATTGTTCAGAGACACACAGTAAAACATGGAAAAGCAGGAAAACTGTATTTTGCATTTATTTTGAAACATTCTTCTGCTTCGTGTGTGTCTCCTCAGTGTGTTTTCATTGAGGTTGTGCTTTACCACAGGTGTAGAAGCTGTGTGTGTGGCTTTCTCAGCTCTGTTAACAGGCTCTTCCATTACACTGGTAGGTGACCTCTTATGGATGTTGTCGAAACAGAATCTTAATTTTTACCTATTCCATATCACTCCAGTAAAATACTGTTGTGTGAAGGTGAAGTCATGGGATATTATTATATCAAATTAATTTAGTCTCAGGCCTTAAAAACCTTGTTAGTGCACCTTTAAATAAATAAATAAATAGATTTCTTTGCTGTATGACTCTTGACCTGTTTTTCTGACTCAGGACTGACACTTCATTGCCTTTATATAAACAGAAAATTTAACTCTGTTGCTTTGTTTTCTGTTATGAACAGTCTGTGTTAACAACAAAGCCTCTGGTGCAGGTGGTTTTCATTGAATGATACTCTGCTTTGTCATAAGAATCAAATAAAACAAGCAAAAACTCCCCATTGGACTGTATATATGCATCATTACCTTGAGTGCTGTCTGTCGGGGTTGTGTGCTACAATCTTTAAGTGAAAAAGAGTAATTGGAGTCTTTTTAAAAACACTGTCTTTCAGAGAAGGACTTCTATGAAAATATTTCATTGTATTTTTCCAGAATAAGCAAAAACCAAAAGGGAATCTGACAGGCAAAGGAAAATACATGTCTGTGTGCTTGAGCATGCTTTATCAATTACTTGTTTTTCCTTCCCTGTGCTCTTTATTGACCCATGTCCAGCCACTTAATGCCCTACAAATCTTTATAATGACTGTATTTCTAGAATCACTAATTGCAAAGACATTGTTCCAGTTGTCCATGCCCCAAATATTTAATTTTTTTTCTTGCTTAGAGGTGTACAGAGATGGTGTAGGCTTTTGGAAGTGGCCATTTGCTTGATGATGAAAATAGAAAACTTGTTTGTTTTCTTTTTTGACACAAACTAATTTTTCTATATTGTTTTTGAGTAACATTTTAGTTTCTGGTGCATTTGCAGGGAATGGAAAGCTGGAGTATGACATCTGTAGTAGTAAACACACTGGTGGTTTATGGATGTAAATAGTAAAGCTTTATGCTTGAAAACAAAGTGTTACATATTTTGCTTCTTTTGAATACTGTGCACTTGTCTGGGATAAGTTTCAAATATTGATGGGTGCTGAGCTGGACAAATCAGGCACAAGACAGTCAACTACAGTTAAAACTGTTCCTCCCAACATGAAAATACCAAGTTTTGGTGAGGCCTGATGTAGTTAAATCTGTATCTAGATTTGGCTCTCAATGTCCATGAGCAAAGAATGAACTTCTTCTACTACCACTTGAAGAACAGAGTCCCCTCGGGGCCTGAACTGATCTTGATCATGATTATTTATTGCTACACTTTAGGTGGAAAACTTGATAGAGCATTTCATACCCAACTTGTCTGAGCATCATTGTACTCAGTAGATGCAGTTTAAATACCTCAGTTGGGTTTTTGCTGCTTTTACATGCTATTTTTAGGGTGTGAGTGAACATGTAGCCTTTTACCAGTCACATCACTCAGTCAGATTAGACTATATATAAATATATATATATAATATATTAAACTATATATATATACCTTCTAAATTCTTAGAAGGTCTTATGTCAAACACAGGTTGCCAGGTTGCTTTGCTGTAGAGCAAAAATTCACTGTAACATCATATATTTTGTTTTCCACTGCACCCAGTGTTTAAAATATTTTCTCTGGGTTGCTGCCATTTGCTACACTCTGTGCAGCTTTCATGTGATAGTCTTCCAGATGAATATTGATTACTTGGAATTATATTAAATGTGCTGTACGTTGGGTGATGGCAAGTTAAAAACAGAGCCATGGGGAGAGTGCTTGTGTATTGTAATTTCTGACAGCTTCTTAATTTGAATTCTTAGTTCAAATATATGTAATTGTTGACACTGTTCTTTTAAACCTTACTTATTATAGTCCAGTTTTCTGCTTGTAAATATCTCTGACAAACTGAAAGAAAATAGAATAAAACTACAAACATGCTTAAGTTTGTATATTCCCCCTCCAACTCCCATACTAGTTATGTAAAGCTGTTAAGCACCCCATGGGAAATAACAAGATTATCTTTTTAAACAGGTGCTGGGAAAATGGAGAAGATTCTGAACAGAATTCATCTAGTTTCTGATCCAGAAGCAACCTACTTCCTACAAGTATCATGGGAAAAGGATTTAGGCACTGGCTTCAGTATACTTCTTAGTGATGGTCAGTTCTCCTGGGCTGGGACAGGTAATGATGGATAGAGAGAAAAAATATTTTAATTTAAATTATTACTGGTTTTATTACTCTTTTTAAACACTTTTTAAACTGTGACCTGCCATGGTCTGGGTTTGTAGCTGGGAGGACAACAGCACAAAGGGGTTCTGACAAGGTAGAAGGTCTGGAGCTATCGCAAGTTTATTGTGGGGATGCACCGGCTTATATAGGGTTCTGGGGGAAGGTACTGGAAAAGTAGGCGGAGCATGAGACTGACACGTGAGGAATAAAACAGGGAATAAACCAGGGAAGGTAGGAGGGAAAATAAGACAATCAGGGACCAATAACAAATTACTCCACACTGTGGCAAATCTTAGCCAATCAGTGTGAGGAACAGGGACATGAGGGAGCTAACAAGTCTGGACATGCCCATGCAATAGAAATAACTGGGATACATTAATAAAAAGCATGCATTAACAATCCATATGTGTTTTTAAGATTAAGTCTTTTTCTGTCGTATTGTCCCTCAATTTCTGTAAATCTCACGCCACTTCTGGAATCTTTTCCATTTGTTTTCCTCGTCCTCCACAGTGACCATGGCTTGCATCACAGAACCATTTTATGAGCGTTACCTGTCCCTGCTAATGGAGGGGGGGGGTTCATGATATACTGGGACATGACCAGAGAACTTTCAAATCTGGAAAAAGGAGTGTCAAAGCTAATGCTAATTGACTTAGGACATGGATATGCAATGTTTTGTTCTTTCTCAAGAATATATAATTTCTTGGAGTGATACTGGAGTACCACTTATGTATCTTCTCCAGATTCCTGAGCAAATGTTGGTGCAAGTTCCATTTCCAAATTAAGAGTTCATGAAGTGTTTAGTTGAAGATGTTTTGACATGTTTTCATAAAATCTTAATAATTGAAGGTAATTATATTTGGTACTGAGGTGAATTTTTGGGAAGGAGAAGGGACAATAAGTTATCAAAAGAATCAAATAAAAAATAGCCTGTTGGATTTTTTTTCCTCCACTCAGAAACCTGAATAAGAGGATGGATCTCTGCATATGTGAATGCTTTTCTCTTTAACACCTAAAGAAAAAAGGAAAGATTTGTGTGTTCCTGGAGAAATCTGTCAAATACTTGATCAAAAGCCCTTCTCTCAGTGGCAAAAGTATTTCAAGGGTGGGAAAGAATTATATATTTTACAGCATATTATGGGCAAAAATATTTTCTAGACTCTATATCTGAATTATGAAAGTATATGTCTGTGTAGTTGATTCTTCCTTCTCCTTGCCCAGTGGGTGTTGTTTCTGCCCAGTTTCTCCTACATAAGTCAAGCCTTCATGTAGGTCTGAGATAGGTCTGAGATCTTTATATATACAGAGATTTAGATATATATAGATAGATATATGTATGTATATGTGTCTACATATAAATTAAATCTGCTCTTCCATATTCCTTTTAACATTTCACACACACCATTGATCAGGAGTTCCTACACAAGACAAATACATGTATTCCAATCCTGATTCCCTGTAGACTGGCATGAAAGATTTTTCTTTCTTGGTTTAACAATAGTGAAATTAATATTTTGAAAATAACAAGAAAGGTATTAACACTGATAAATACTTACCTAATTGTACATACTAAGTTTTCTGTTTAAAAGGTCTTCTCATTTTTTTTACATGACTTTAAATTCTCAGTTTACATTCACAGAAAGCCAATTCTTATTTTTCTAAGTGAAAGCTATGTCCCTATAACTGGAAGCCTATAGAAAGAATACATAGACACAGTTCTCATTTTGTTAACTTCCTGCATCTGGCAGAATGGCTAGATAATCCATTTCCCAAAACAGAGGGCCAGTGAAAGCAGGATGACCTCACTCTATTAAAAGGAAAGAAAGAGACCCACAACAGTTTAGCTTGAGCTCTGGGTACTCATCCAAAGGAGAGTGCTTCTGCTTCTTCTGTAAGAATCTGATCCATTTCTAAGGAATTCTTACTGAATTTGTAGCCCCTTGAATAATTTCATTTGTAGTCCCTTGAATAGTTTCATTAGGAGTTGATGTTTTTGTGCAAGAGCCTTTCCTACTTCACAGATCTGCATTTTCATACACCCAGCATTGTTTTTGGTCACTTTTTAAAGTTATTACGTCACGTCAGAAGCTACTTAGGTTCTAAACTGGGAGGAGGGAAAGCAATGGCCAGAATATTCTTGCTGTGGGAAATCCCTTCTCAGTTTCTCAAACTGTGGATTATTTTGCTTGGCAAGACCTACCAGGAAGTGAGTGAAAGTTGCTGATGGAGTTGTCTTTTATGGATTTTGTCTATTTAATGTGATGATGAAAAGTGTTAGGAGTTCTATTTAAGAAGAGGAGAAAAAAAGTAAATGTTGGAGGGGAGGGGAAGCACAAAAATATGCAACATAATATAATGTATAAGCTTCGTATTGGGTTAAAGGACTGCAGCTCTATGGTTTTATACATTTCATGTTTCTCTAATGATTGATCAGGTCTCCTGGTTTTATAAGATAAAGGAACATGAAGCACTGTACAGGCACCACAGGAGAAAAAACCCACAGTGCTTTATTGTTTTTATAACTTCCTTATTTTCATTAAAAGTTTTCATAAATTATTCTCAGTGTTGAAATCACTATTCTGGACAAACACTTGTTTTTGCAAGTATTTCAAACTTACTTTTTTCTGCCCCTCTTTGCCTCATAAAAATGTTTTGGTTCTTGCTATGTGTAGATTGTTAGCTCTGCAAGATGAGTGTAGCTGAAATTGTTCCTTGGCTTGTGGGTTTAGCTTTTTTCCTGACAGTAGTTCCACTGTATCATTCTATATATGAAAAATAGAAGTGCTGCTTTCAGTTTTGAAAAAAATCAAGATACAGCTGGCAATTGTTGAAGTCTTAAGCCTTTCTGACAACATTTACTTTATGCAAATAAGTTTTAAAAATCTTGGAAAATGCTGATTATGAGGTTATTTGTCATTTATTCTAATGCATGTTCCACAGCACTTCTATATAGGATATTATGTAATAGGACGTTACATATAATAACATTTCTGCATTTTCTGATATCTGCTGAATGTTTGTGTTGTTGCAGATTTGGTAAAATGCTGTGTATCCTGCCTTGTCCTTTTACTTTATGTTAGGCTTGTATGAGTTTGACGGGTTTCTTTTTGTATCTTAAAAGAAGAGAGGAGCAGAAAATACTAATTTTTAAGCATTTTCTCTTAAGAATGATATGGAAGACTTTGTGACAGACTTCAGACTGCCAGAGGCCTGCCATTGCACATCTTAAGTGTGACAAAAGCTGACTTACTTGTGTTTATTGAGCGGATTTCCATTCTTTCTTTCTTTCTTTCTTTTTTTTTTTTCTTTTCCTGTTTTCTTTTCACTTATAACTCTAAAGCAGTTTGTTTCTATTGCAGAGTAATGGTTCTCAGGGGATATTTTTAAGGGCTGAAAGAAATATTTCTCCCATCTTTGTGGAGGGTAAGGGGATTGATTTAATCAACTGGAGTCTGGGCAGCCAGAGGATGTTGGAGGAAAAGTCTTGAAACCATTCTGAAAAATACTAAGAACAAGATAGTGAGGAGTCAGTGTGGATTTATAAAGGTGAAATTATGCCTGACCCATCCAGTAACCTCCTCTGAAATTAACAACTTGTTGCATGAGGTGAAGGCAGGGGATGTTATTTATTTTGTCTTTGTCTGACAAGGGTTTCAATGCTGGGTCCTCTAAAATCCTCACAAACTGGTGAAAATAAGCTAAAATTCCTGCAGGTGCACAACAAATCCAGAAATCCTGAAATGTGTGAGGCTATAACTATTTACAGCAAATAATTATGCATTTGCCTCTTTGCTGTATTTTTATATGATGGATTGATTTGATTCATACTGCTTGACAATACAAGTTTAGCTACTGTGTTGAGAAGACTGGAGATAAATGAGGCAATTTGAAGACTCATGTTTGGTTGAAATGCTGTTCTATTTCTGTCAGTGTGATTTCAATACATGTACAGACTCTATGTCTTGGTATGAAACTATTTTTAAAGGCATTTATATAGAGAAGACGTTCAACTATTAATAGGGCTTTTGAGTGGGATACTTGCAGTTCTGTGAAGGATGTGTTTTGTTGGGTTTTGGGTTGGGTTTTGGTGGTTTTGTTTGCTTTTTTGTTTTGGTTTGTGTGTTTTTTTTTTCTTTTGTTTTAAGGCTTTCATGAAGTAATGTCTTTTACTCTCTTAAATGCTGGGCAAATGCTAGAAGTCTTGTGGAAGTCTTAAGCCTTTCTGACAACATTTACTTCATGGTTAAAATAAGAGCAAGCAGGAGTAAATGACAATCCAGAGCAGTCTTCCTCAGAAGATTGTTGGGAAGAAAAGGAAAGAGTTCCGTTAATCAAGTAAACAATCTAAAATACTGTATTGGTAGGCTGCACATCAAAGCCTGAATTACAATATACAGATTCTCTCTTTAATTTGCTTATATCTGTCTATCTTTGGTGAAAGAGTAATGTTTTTCAGAGTGACTTTAGGCAAGTAAAATTGAGGACAAGTAGCAATAAACCATTTTCAGACAGGAAAAAAAGGGACAGAACTTAATACCTATGAAAAACAGTATTCCTGCTGCATTTCCATTAGTGGAAATGGCACAATGGCACACTGATGTATGCCAAGGAAAGAATAGCTTCCTAATATTTCAGAGAATCATAGAATGGCTTGGGTTGGAAAGGACCTTAAAGATGATCTAGTCAGTGTGTGTCTGTATGTCCATATAAATATATATAAAATATATGTATATTGTGATATGGATAATAATATATATGATATATGCATGTTCACACACATATGCGTGTTTATTCCTCACGTTTCTTTCTGATAGTGTCTGAAGCAGAAATTTCCAGGGAGGCTGCTGACATGGAAATGAACAAGGAAAAGTATGTGGAAGAGCTGAAGAAAGCATTGGTGACTAGAGAAGAGTCAGCTGGCAAATACAACTATCTGATTTCAAGAGATCAAGAAAATGTGGTGTGTCAGTTCTCCTATGAAAGAAGTCTGAAAGATGGCTCTGTAAGTAGTTAAAAGTTTAAATTTTCCTGTCAAACTGGGAGAAGGATCTTCTTATAATCTGTATCTGTAGACACTTTTTGGTTATTTCAGGTTGTGGTTTGTTGTTAAAACTTTTCTGAGGAAGAAGCTAATTTAGGGTAATCCTCCTAGTTTGTGCTCTTTTCTTTATTATATTTTATTAGATGCCTTTTTCCTTGTGCAATATAGGAAATTTCAGCCCAGTTTAACTATTGAGATGCCAAAGGTTAAGTGATACAAATCTTCCAGTCTGTGTTATCAGTATTTCTGTGTATTTACCCAAGGCCATATTGACTCTAAACCACTTTTTGATGCTTCTTGTGAGTTGTTTGTGAGTGCTGTTCGCAGAATCTAGGTCAGGTTTGCGAGTTTAGGGCCAAATTGTACTTAGAAAATTAAAGCAGTAAGTTTAAGAATCCTAGTTTTCTTGTCTGTGTCACACATAATATATTCTAAATAGAAGACAGATTAAATACATACTATATTTTAATAAGCAAAAGTATCTATGTATCTGGGCTCACATAATACACATTTCCATCAGTGTAGGCTTATAAGAAATTAAATCGTATGAAAACATTTTTATGTAAATTTAGGAAATAATCTGGCCAAAGAAACTGAAAATGCAAAGAGCCCTGATTGTTATGGATGCTTTTAGGTTTGGGTGTCAAGAGAGTGTTTCTAGAAAAGATGTCATTTTTTGGGTGAAAGTTTTAGCTCATGTACTAAACTAACGCCTACAAATAAAATTGCCAAAGCAATTATATAAAATTAAGTAATAGAATTAAAGAATAGAAATAGCTTTCACGTGAGTAGTAGAATATGTTTTCAAATGTTTTGCAAATTATCTATGAAAGTATTTGTGATCTGTCTCTTTCAACATCACATTAGGAAATTAATCTTCCTGGGCTCTGTACATCCAGAGGGCTGATATTCACCTAAATGTACATTTACCTCAGAGGAAGTGTAGACAAACTGCTCTGCAACTTAAACAGGACTTCAATTCAGTGTTTATCTCCTGTCAGTACTTATTTTGTCTTTACATATTTTATTTAGTCATTATGAATATTTTCTCCTTCTCTTTTCATATATTATAAACAAATTATAATGCGTTGCAGGGCAAGGGTGAGAAAATTCTATCAAACTATCAGGAATAAATAGGATATTCTTTAAGAAAATTAAGAATTAATTTATTATTAAAATTTTATTATTTATTTAAAATGAATTTTAATTTAATTCTAATTATAAATTATTTTTGTCATTTGATATAAAACAACAGGAGAGATAACAGAAAAACATGCATGAAGATGTGGTTGGTTGTGTTTGCATGCTGAATGTTCTGCTTAGTATTTAATAATTGAGGTGATGCTTTTTAGTTAAAAAATCCCAGAAATTCTGAAATGTATTGTTACACTTTGAGCTATAAAATGCTTATCAATTCATGTAGTTATCTATTATTTTGAAATTTTTCATCAGCAATACTTCGTGTACAGAATAAATACTGAGTAAACAGATATAATTTGTCATAAAAAAGAAAAGCTTTCCTATGGTAGTGCATCAGAAGTGAGTGTTAAAAATTTTTAGGCCTTAAAAAGCAGTATTTGTAGTATTACAGATGAGTAATTTAATCTTCGTTGGCTGAAAGTTAGTTGTGCCACCAGTGTCACTTGATTTTCTTGAGCATAACTTTGAACTTGGTGATTACTGATTTTTGAAATACTCTTAAGTGTATTCTTTATATAATTTATAGATATGCATGTAATTTCAGGGTTTTAGAGGATGCATAAATCTGATTAACTCTATTTTCAATTTTATTTTTTTTTCATTTTTGTCATGCAGTTACACATTCATTTTCCAGTCTTCTGGTAGAGAATATAAATAGTTTTGGATTAATGACTGGCAGTAGTCCCTGGATGATGATAAAATGTGCTAGCTACTGACTTTTTGTTTTCATGGCTGTACCAAACTGTGATATTTGAAATAATTTTTACCTCCTTTGGAAAAGGTTACTAAAGCTCTGCTTACCTAAAATTTAATTATGTGCCAAAACTGCATTGGGTGGTCTATGGGAGTGCAAATAAAAATAATGGAATGATGTTAAGCAAAGGAAAACATAAGTATAATACTGGGGAATATTTTTTGATGTGGAAATTTTTTTACTGCCCAAGTGTTTTCCAGAGGAAGTGGTGGAAGCCCCATTGTATCCCTTAAAAAGGGACTGGACAGAGGAATGGAAAATGCATTCTAATTATCCTGCATTGGCACTATAGTACATTTGATGACTTAGTAAGGTGCCTGATTCATCTGTTGTTTAGTTGATGAGCAAGTAGGTTCCTTCCCTGAACTGATGTCTCCCACCAAAATTAGATACTTAAAAATAAATGCTTTTACCTCCTGCACTATTTCAACTGAATGAAACCAAACCTGTCTCTCCAAATAATTTTTAGAATTATTGATATTTAATAATTGTGTGTATGGATGGTTTATGTAGTGAATGACTGCTGATGGGTTTTGTTTTAAAATAGATGGAAAACTCACAAGTCAGAAATCTGATTTAGGTGAGGTCCTCTGAAATGTGTTTATTTTGTAGTGTCATGGTTTCATGTAGTGTTAAAAGCAACAGAATAAGAATAATAATCTAATTTAAGGGAAGTCCATAAGGGCTTTAGTGCTTTCTTACTTATCTTTTTAAAACGGTGGTCAGACGAAGATAAAACGATGTCTTGAGTTTTATAAATACTGGTTCTAGCTGTGCCTCAGGCTGATGCAGCTGTGCCTAAAATGTTATGCCTTTAAAAATGGGGGGGTGTTTTGTGGACATTCGGACGTGTTTTGTGGAAATTGGGGTGTGTTTTGTGAACATTGGGACTGTTTCATGATTTATCTTCCTCCGGACAGGTGGCTTTACTGCGGGGCCTTGGGCGCTGTGCCCTCAGGAGCTGTTTATGGGGTGGTGAGGGCACAGTGTCGGCTGTTGGAGTGACATTAAAATAACAATGGTCTCGGTATATACAGTGGGAATTGTGTGTCGAGACAGCTGCGGTGAGAAAGGGCCACACACACAGAGGCCTCAGCGAGGGGCCATTGAGGCTGGTCCAGCTCAACTGCTGCCACCTAAACAAACACCACCACAGAGTCAGTGATTTAACGCTTGATCTAAGTAGGTGACCACTTGGAAGTAAACCTTTCCAAGTACTTTAGCGAGTCACTCCGCATATAATAAATAATGTAAATCTGGCAAGCTTTTTTTTTTTCCTGAAGGCTACCAATTAAATAGACTAAATAGCCTTTGATAAACAATTATTTGAGTGCTGGCAGTGTCTTTTTTTTACGGTGATGTGACAGGCTCTGGGGCTTTTTTCCCTTGCCTTTTGCTGAAGTTTGAAAACAGGGAGGATAAGCGCTTAACAAATTCCACCTTAGATGCAGTACTGTTGCTAATTAGGATGATGGAAGAGATGCTGTTATTTGTCTCTCCTGTTTCCTGTGGCTGCTTTTCCCTTGGTCGGTCCTGTGAGTTCATTGTGAGTTTATTACAAGTTTAAAAATAGCTGAAAAAGCTCCTTCTAACCAAAACTTCTTGCAGCGTTCTGAATAAGAGGAGTAGAATGGGTAGGGCACTTTTACACTGTCCAAACTGTCTTGGTTCAAAGTTTGGAGAGTTTCTTTGCTCCAGACCTCTGCTATGTTGTTTGGTTAACAAAGTTCACTGAGAGTTCAGATTATTTCCCAGGCAATTGGACCAACTGCTCAGCTGAGAAGACAGAAAGATGAAATGATTAATCTTTAGGTCAGTGTAAAAGTATAATAAAAAAAAATGGGGGCCCCTGGTGGTCTAGTGGTTAGGGTGCAGCACTTTCACCGCTGCAACCCGGGTTCGATTCCCAGCCCCCCGGGCAGATGCAGCTCGTCAGCCCTGTAAGGCAATCCATCTAAGAGAAGGTCACTCTAAACAAACCTACGTCCTGAGACCCTCACTGCCACTGTCCAAGCTTGCTCGGCCCCGGCAGATGAACCTCAGGATTAAAGGGTGGGCTCAGTTCAGCGCACGCTGTGTCTCACCTAAAAAATCCACTGCGCAGGCTCGAAGGGTTAATGACCTTTCCCAAATCTTCGCTCGCGAAGACTGGCCATTATTATTATTGTAAAAGTAATGATTCTTCCATATCACTTATACCTATGTACCTCAGGATTTAAGGATGGACAGTTGGATAAGTTTCTTCAAAGCCCAGGTTAGAAGTAACTTTTTACAAATGAGCATTATATAATAAGAACAGTAAGTGTTATCTTTTTCATAATCTCAGACTTCTAAGTGCTACATGATTTTTCCCATCTTGCCTCATGTGCACATTTGGATCTTGCAGCTACATTTGAAATGTTTCTGTAGTAAGAAAAAACTTTTCTGAAAAAATTTGTATTCTCCCCCCCGTATTAGTATGTATGCAAATTTGACAAAAATCCTGGTGAATTAAGTAATTAATTTCCCTTGCTTAGCTATTTGGTGGTCCAGGTATTTGATTGCTGCTTCTAATAGGCAGTGGTTTGGAGAAATAAATTTAAAATAAATGCATTCAAAACTGAGGGATTGTTGAAAAAAGGAAGAATCAAACACTGCAATGAATAAATACTTCAGTTTCTCTCTTCCTGTTAAGATTTGTGTATTTCACTGGAACTGTCCAGTTGAACAAAAATTATAATTTAGTTGTTTTAAAGCCTAATATAAATGACTTTATAAAGAGTAATTTCTAATTTCACAAGTGCAGTGACAGTCTAAATATATTAAAAGTATCCATAAAGGGTTTATAAAATAACAGATTTTGATAGTACAGGAAAAATTGTCAGTTGTCCTTTCTCCCTCCTGGTGTTATTGTATTGTTTCCCCTCCTCTCCTTTTGGTTCCTTCAGATTTTCCCTTCTTGGCACACCTGCTGTGCATTCCAAATCAAGACTTACTTTCACTTGTACAACTGAGTGCAAATGCTTTC